CTTTCGGGTTCGGACTCGAAATCTCTAATCGTGAACTCCATGCTCGACAGTTAACATCCTGAACCAATTGCTATGTCACTTTAAATACTTATTTTAGGGCCAACAACTCATTGGACTTACAAAGGCACTGAGCACCGCTTTCAAATTGTGGTCTCTGGCATCCTGTTCATTGTCTCTCCCTTCTTTATTGTCAACTACAATATCGCTGTATGCATTCTACGGGGTAGAGCAATCCTGGGCAGTAATACGTGCCATCTGAAAATGTTTCACTATGGTTGGGTTCGAGCCTTCCGGGCTCCGAGATAGCGTTTCGTCCAAAACTCTTCTGAACATGCCCCCCAAATAATTGCATATCACAAACAGTTCCTATGGGAAAAGTCTCTCTCACTCACTGCTCTGATGCAACTGACGAGTTTTAAACTGAAGTTGGAGATCAAAGGAGAAATCTTGCTCGCGCTCCGCTGACCATTGATAATCAGTCTAGGAGAATCGACAAAAGGCGCATTCTGAACCAACTATACGTGCTCGTTTTAATCTTCAGCACAACCCGGATTCCCCACCGAGGTTTACATTCGGATTCGGTTACCCCGAATCTCACCGTTATCTGGATCAGACAACTTACCATCAGCCCTTTTAAATATATGGTTCAGAAGAGCTTGTAAGATAGCTTACCGGGTATTTTTTCGTATCATATATGATAAGAATAGGTTATACCTCCCATGTGGAGGAATCAAATGTTGCATCATTTTTCAAGAAGTGCCATCGTAATGTTGGTTTCAATCACCGGGTAGAGCCTGATCGGATTTTACTCGCATAAAGTCGGTGAGCAATCAGTGGCGCAGTATCAGGTGAAAAACTGTCACTGCGCCTCGGTCTGCTCAGTCAGATCAAACGAAGATGGTGAAATGTTCGTCGGATTCTGTAGGCGTATAGCGCAATACGTGCTTCAAGTGTTATAATTCCTGTGCTGGGTCGAAGAGAGTTATTTACTGAACCAACAGGATAGGGTAGGAGTAAATAAGATTATAAGGGACAAAACATAATTGACAATTGTTTACCGAATTGACTTCCAGAGTGATGAGTAGAAAGCGAATTCCCAAGTCCAGGTTCCGATAATCCACGTATAGTGAGGCACGAATAAACAAAATATGTACAGCATACCTCAAGTTACAAGCAATCCGGCTCAGAACCTGGTTGAGGTTGTATCGACAACATCTTCACTCTTCTCCAAGTTCTCGAGCATCGATATCCTTTTCGGAGACCCATCATCTCTATCTGCCTGGATCTGAAAGCGGCTTTTGACTCAGTCGACTGCTGCCCTTCCCCGAACGGTGTGCCCGAGAAGTTTATTCCAATACTACGACTCCTTTATAATAATAGCCGAAGCCGAGTCCCAGTGTACGGCACTTTTTCCCCGCGTTCACCACGGAAAGTGGTGTCCCTCAGGATTACCCTCTCTCCCCTTCTGTTTAACTTTCTTATAGATTTGATAACGGAAACAGCTCTATTCTCGTGCGAGGATAGTGGCATCGATTTGGTAGACTGTCTTATCTAGAGTATGCGGACGACATTATGCTACTAAATGAAGATCCAGGTAAGTTGCAAGCTCTTCTGGTTAACTTGAGCGTTTTCCACCTTCAAAGTGTAAAATGTTACCACAAGACTGGGTTGGTTCAGCACCCTGCCTCACTTTAACTGGCTAGGTAATAGAACAAGTGGATAAGTTTTGCTATTTAGGCAGCTATATTTCACCTGGTGGACGCATCACGGATGAAGTGTCAGTTCGCATACAGAAGGCTCGGTTTGCATTTGTGGCGACGTCGCGACATCCGAATATCTGTAATAAGGGCAGCTCTAGACCGTACCTTCTCTGATGCTCAACTCAGACTCACTTGTGGAGTTGATTTGGACAAACGTAAACATGGCTGGCAAACCGATTCCGTTTCACATATTGTATACCAGTTCAGTTGTGGTGATGCATATATAAGCAGAACAAACCGTCAGCTCTCACAGCGGATGGCCGAACATATTCCAAAGTCGTTGGTGAAATCGATGACGCAACCGATGAATGATGACCAAATGGATTACAAGAAATCCAGGGTCATCTGTTGCAAAACATATCATGGCAACAAGACACACAGTTGACCCGAATTCGTCTTCAAACCACCATTACGTAATCGCAATGCTAAACTGTTGCCGATTAGTGAAGCACTGCTTATTCGATTACATAACCCGACCTTGTGCGCACAAAAGATTTTAATACAATCAATCCACTTGGCGTGGAGTTGACCTGCTTCTCAATTTAGTAATCCTTGTATGCTAGTACACGCTAGTTCAATATTACTGATTAATCCCATGTGCTGTATATGTGTCTGTTTGTTTTAAGTGAGCGACTGAGAAGATTAAGCGAAATGTTAACATCTCGCGACATTTGTCTTCTTTCTATAATGATAAAATGGATGAGGGGAACTCAATGCATCAAATGTCTGTGGAGGGTCGAGTGTATGCCTCGGCAGTTCGGCCAGTTCTGCTATACGGTGCAGAAACTTGGCCATTAAGAAAACAGGATAAAGACAGACTGTCGCTGTTCTAAAATCGCTGTCTACGCAGCATTGCACGAATCTGGTGGGGCAGCCGGACGAGCAATGCTGAGGTTACTCTCTACACAGCATTGAACGAATCTGGTGGGGCAGCCGGACGAGCAATGCTGAGGTTAGGCGCAGAGTTTTGGGTAAATACGGTCGCCCACTGTCGACTCCTATAGATTACGTTGGCTGGGACATGTGTTACGCATGTCACCAGGTAGATTACCTAGGCCAACGATGTTCGCCGAAGCAGATATCGAGTGGAAGAAAGCCACGGGTGGTCAAGTTAAGACCTGGCATGAGGGTATGAAAATCTTTACCAGGAAACTGGGTCGCATAGGTCCCTTTAGGCTCCCTGGCCTCAGGATGATGGTAGTCGTTGGTTAGAGACACTAAGTGTCGTAAACGGTGGCGTTTGTGCACCCTCTGAATTTCTTTGCAACCTTAGTCCGCTGAAATTCTCCATTTTCTATTCGACTCTACTTCGAACTGTCGTGTTCATCCCAATGGGCAGCCAAAAGACATTAACCAAAACCGGCGCACGAAAGTGCATGGTTAATGGTTGTTCAAACTGAAACTGAAGCCTTATCTTACAATCTAAATAAAACAACGAAGTCGTAAGTTAAATTATTATCTCCCAGTTACCCCGGATTTGCGAACCACGGTTTTAATTGGATCTTTTAACTATGGCTTAGACGTCCTAGTGATCGTTTACGGGCCTGTGTCAATGGTTTGACGTGGAGGAACGGCAACCCATTGAGGGCTGTTCTCAAAGTACATTTCGTTCAGAAGTCTTACTTCAGCTCTAATCAGAACAGACAGTCCTTTTACACCTTTTCGCCTACCGGTTATATAAACCATCTCTTTAGCACGACGGATTCGAGAAGCGAGAAGAACCTATCAGTTCGAATATAAACAGTTTCTAGAGGCAATATTAGATACAGCAGAATTTGAGATAATCAGTAAGTTGTTGGCAAGACGAAAGGAGAGCTGACTATTGAATAACAGAAAAATCTGTCGAAGAAGCGTCCATTGTGTTCAAAATGGTAATGCAAAAACTCCCAACAGATTCCCCTAACCTCGCTGTCTTGCGTCATCAGAGTATTGTCGTGCGGTTGTTTGTTCCCCTGCACCGATCCTACCTCGTCAAATTAATTAAATATGCTTATCATATTTTGGCATAATTGATAGTCGGAAAGGAGCCACGTATGGTGAGGAGCATGCACTCAATTTACGATTATTAACGTTCACCTCCGTGAAATGCCAGTTCAGATATGATCAGATCAAATTAGGCGCGGGGAAGAAAGGTGAATGGCATGTTCCCAAATGAGACTGGGCAGAGGATAGATAAAACCTTTTTCCAGCTCTATAGTATCATTGTCTCTGTCGGGGATTTGGCAAACAAATTCCTCGTAGGGTTTAGTCAGACGCGACCATAGGCAATCAATTGTTGTTAATCAAACTACTTCAAAGAGTGAAAATCTTATTTGAATCTCTCAGTTCCATTTAAGAGCTTTCAACCACTTAGTTCATCTCTGATGTGAACTTGTTCGTACAGTGTGAATATACATCTAGCATGCAAGGTATCTGCAGCTCAAACTATACTGTAGTAATCCTAGCTTACGGGATGATGCAAACCACGGGACAACACATTACAGTTTCTGGACAACTGTGATGAGTCAAGCTTCCCACATGACGCCAGCAAAGCGCCTACGCGTTACAGCTTCCGGCCAGCCAAACAGGCCGATTGTGCCGACCAATCAGAGACCGTGCGTCCCAGACAGAAGTTGTACGAAGTGAAGAATACGAGTACGTGAATGCCTACATAACTAATGAACTTCTTTTGTAGAAGTTGTTCATCCCACTTGCTTTCTTTCAATAGATGAACTACTACTCCTGTGGCCTTTTCCTTGTGTCTCGGTTACGTGGGCTACCGTTGTGCAAGTGCCAGGGTGATGCAACGCTCCTGTGGTGTCCATGATTCCTAATACGTGATGCGTAATTCATGATCTGTGCGCAATTCAACTATTAGATTTACTCAGACCGGGGGATATGCACTGATAAGTATTAGTTCTAAAACCAGCAAAACTCCATTCCGGTGGTTACCATTTACCTGGTTTAGTGGCTAAACCTAGCATCGAATGTGGAAATCACATTGTTGTTCAGTACAAAGTACACCAACAATCCCAGAACTTGCACTCTAGCTTCCGAAAGTTTTGTCACTGATCTTAGTGAGCGAAAGTTCAGTTGCAGCGCGCTATATCAATGGATAAGATTGATTATTAGAAAGCCAGCTAACAAATTGGATGAGCCCACAAAACATCGTATATGCAGCTACCTTCAACAACTCCTTATTTCAAAAAGCGTGTGTGTGTGTGTGTAAGATCGATTGAATCACATGACCATTTGGTTCGAATGCTATCACTGGTGGTCCCATTAACCGTCTATCTGTCCATTGGTTCGATTTGCGGTGCTGCACTTCAACTGTATGTGCTACCAAGAGATTCGGTGATTTATAAAACTGTTGATCGTGAAATTCAATTTTGTGCCGGGAATCCAGGTTCCCTGTGTGAGGCTGTATCATTGAAAAATGTCAACTGTACCATCGAGCTGGTAGACAATCCCAATGAGACTTCTCTCTATTTAGTGTTCAAACCTCGTGTGGTCATTTCCAATTGGCCCATCGGATTGTATCAGATCTCGTGTCGCAGTAGGCCACAAAGTAGTGTCACTTTGAACGTGATCAAATTGTTGCTCAATGACACTGTCAGCTATCTGGACTGTGCGGCCGCACCTGCGCGTATTCGGCTGATACAAAACAAACCCCAATGGTTTCGTTTGTGCGTCCGACACCTGCCGGTACGCGCGATCTGGCTCCGGCTGATGCCCCAGTTAAAACATGTGGGATTTGTCACAGTGAATTGTCAGTCGGATAGTTCGAGGTTGGTGATCTATCAAGGATTTTTGCATATTCCTGCCTCAAGAAAACTGGCCGGGGGCAAATTTCTGATCCGGTGCGGTCTAGATGAATGGAACAAGACACTGTATGTATTCGGTAAGTGTCTGGTTGCGGTGTTCGCGCTTCTCGGACTATTCATTCCAATTTATCCGTATGTGAGTGGATTGGTTTGCGGTTTCCGAGTCCCAGTAAAAACCGCCCGTAGTGTTCGTGAAATTGTGCTTTTCAATTTGATTCAGTGGTTGCAAAACTATGTGTTACTCGCGAGTCGTGCGTCCTCCGGTGTTCTTATCTTCAAACATCGCGTATCAAAAGCTTTTTCCGCATTCGCGGATGTCTTCCTTTGTATAAGTTGCATATAGAGAACACACAAACATCAACATCCGTATCCCGAGCCACAATTATTTCACATCATTTCCGATATCGATGTCTGTTTGACATGATCGTATAAACGTACATTTACAGCTGAGATCTCTTTCCACTTATAGAGTGGTTAAGACCATGCACCTTTCCATTTTCTCGTACTTCATCCGACTGGTTCAGTTGTTCATTGTATCGTTCACATCGAAACGTTCAATTCATGCAACGTTTTTATCTCCGATAAATGACTTACAGAGTTCGATATTATGCGTAGCAATCCGACCTTACATTTCCAATTCTTGTATGGCTGAATTTTAACTACCCCCCCCCCCCTCAGAAATATCGTGCCCTAGTGTGATCGGGATTTATTACAGGGTCTGGTTATCTGGTATGTGCGGACATTGATCTCACGGAAAACATCCTTGTGGAATCCTCGTTATCAGTAAGTCTCTCCGAACGCACCTTGGGTGACAATGCCTGGTAGTGACCGGCTTGAACGCCTTTGCTATTTCAAGGTCATTGGAAGTGACGTGAGTGTGACCCTCGTGTATATCAGTTTGCCAACCGCTGACTCACCACAGCTGTAGTTACCATGCCGAACTACAACCTCGGGATGTCTGTTGCACCCGTCCTAATACCCAGTTCAGTATGTAAAGTGCATTGGGGTGCAATACTTTTGCTGCTGTGAAAATTCGGTTTTCCGACATATTTTCGTTAAAATTAAAGATAATTTGATGAAATTTCGTATTTTGGTCTTCCATCCGGTTGCCGTCTGGATTCCCAAAAATTGTGATGATCGTGCAGGTGGGATCGGAGATAATGCGAAATTCTGCGAGTGGGGGTGCAACGCTTTTTTCTTGTGGTAGACATGTATCTCTTGGCAGTAGACAAACAACTATGTATGACATCGGGGAAAACGAACACTAAATTAGCATTCAAGTGGCCTGAAATTTACGAAGTGTGCATAGCTCGGGTAGACGAAATACGCTCACAGATATCGTGGATCGTGGTGCTCGTAAAATAATAAAAAAATCAACTAGTCATGAAGAAGATCTTTGGATGCTTTCGACAATTTAGAACATGGTCTGCAAAGCCCGTTAAGTAGCCCGATCGAAACCCATCCATGTCCGGTTCAAATTTTTTTGGTAAATTGTGCAGTATTTACTGCATCTATGAATATAATAATTTCGATACTATAATAATAATAGTTTGAATTCTAATATTCGTCATATGAATGTTTCGCCTCTTGTAAACATCAATCTGAAACAAACTATTACCGTGACAAATTTGAAAAGAGAAGCCAATTGCACGATTTATGTCCTGAACGATTTCGCTGCATTTCAACTGGTGCCTACTGCAGACAAACACAATGTGTTTATAGGGTTTGAGAATAGATTACAAAACAAAAACTTGTAAATGGAGGAAGCGTCACCAAGCTGATCGATTGCCAGGCACTTGTTGATGATGCAACACCTCGTGGATCGCGAGGAAGCATTTCGAGTGATTTCTATTAATGGTAACACCAGAATGTTCCAGATCACCGAGGCGATTGCAATTATCCAATGGTAACTAATTCTGTGTCAACAAAAGTTGAACTTGTTCATCACCTTGGCTTTGCTTTGGTGACACTTCCCCCACTCACAAGTGTTTATTTTTCAATCCATTCCCAAACTCTAAATGAACATTGTATTTGTCTGCAGTAAGGACCAGCTGAGATGCAGCGAAATCGTTCAGGACATAAATCGTGCAATGTTGCTATACTGGCTTCTCTTTTCAAATATCAATCTGTCGACGGAATACTGAAGCATGAAACCGATGGTTCCAGTGCACTGTACGGAGTGTTCTATCCCTCAATCATCTTCCTCCCGGATTGACCTATTATTTCCACTTTGGTTGCATAGATTACAAATCAATGAGTTATCAATAGTACACATTTACTAGAATTTGCTCACGACAGTTAGAGTATAACAAGTCTGTCGGTGTGACTGTGCCTAACAGTCAACCAGTTGGTTTGCTCCCGCATGGCTGCCCTCTCGCGCACATGAGAGAGAAAGAAGCGCCGCGGACATTCCAATCAACGAGATTCTGACTGAACAGCATTTCCGGTGAATGAAGCAAGCGTATCGGGTATTGAATGAGTGTTATCATCATATCTGACTACCGCGGACAGTACTCAATCTTGCCTATGAGGAGATACGTATATGCTTCTAAATTTCAAAATGACACTATTGTTTCCGGTTGATCACATGCATGAGTACTGCCTCATTATTACCGTTTGAAATCACTTTTACCGTTTTGTGCACCTGTGGCTAATTTATCCATTGGTTCACCACTCAAGGTTTACGAATCAGAGGATTAGCTATTCAGATCGATAAAGATTTGCATGGGATAAAAAAAACCTGGTGCATTGAACCAGTAATGGAGGAGCTACATTTAAGGCCTAATTGGTTACCGTGGCTAGGTCACTCGCGAAAACAGCCCAATCACCCGACTAACTCCAATTCAAGCCTCTCAGTAAATTCTGCTATTCGAATAGGCTCAAGATCCACACAATGAAAAGTGCATCGCTTAGACTTCACCGCAAGCGCTGCATTCGACCTTGGTCCTAGCTACTGTGATAATCTTTGCCGACTGAGATATCGTCAGTGTCCCAGCCACTACGATCAACTTCGCCTTAACTGTACCGCGCACGAAAAAGTGCATCACCCTTTGCGCTTATAGCGTCGGGTCCAGCTTCATTGTCTGGGGCTAATCAAAAGGATTCACCTACAGACAGGTGGTCATTCAGGAGGTAGGAAACAAACGTGTGATCAATTGAACAATGGGGTTCGTTGATCAGAAACAAATTAAACCACAGAGTCAGTGGCCTGGTCACAGCACTATTTAGACACCTTTGTGCTGAATGAAGTAAAAGAAGCACATCTTTTACCTCGCATTGTCCTACCAACACAATTTCCATGTTTCGGTAAATTTTCATAATTGTTTTAGGCCGTCAACTCTGGTCTTTTAGGTTTGGTATCACTGAGCTTGTAGATTTGTATACTGATACACCCTAACAACCAGGCTGTTTACTTTTATCTGGTCGGAAAAGCAGTTTTTATTAGTCAAACGATTGCCGGGGCGAAAAATACCTGGACAAGACACTG